CAGTGCGTCCTCTTCCCTGGGCAACAACTCCTCCCACCGTGCTCCTGTGCTCCCCACAATGAAGCAGCGCGCCCGCAGTGACTCTGTCCACCATGACTTACAACTCCCTGCTTGTACCTGGCTTATTGCACAATGGAAACTGGGTAAACGACAGAAGGGCTTTATTGAATAGGCAGCATTAGGGAGGTAACCTCCCTATGAAACATAACCAGGGATGATCCAGGCTTTCCTGCCATAGCTGGGCACAGTCAGGGAGAGGGTAGAATCCAGGAAACCTTGTGATTGTCATTGTTGGAGGCCAAGAATAGGGCAAATGCATCCGACGTGGGAAGATTCATAGAATCATAGAATATCAGGGTTGGAAGGGACCTCAGGAGGTCATCTAGTCCAACCCCCTGCTCAAAGCAGGGCCAATCCCCAACTAAATCATTCTCCTTTAACTCAGTGTTACTGCGTTCTTTTCAGAAGGTCACCGGTCAAATTCCTTGTAAGGATTCCTTGCCAGAGGCCAGATTCAAAGCCTGCTGAAGTCAATGAGAATATTTCCACTGACTTCCGTGGGCTCGGGATCAGACCCTAGGGAAGAAATTCACCCCTGCAATGTGGTCACCAGTGGCAGAGGCATAGAGAAGGCACGAGCAACCTCCCCTCTGTCCCTGCGCTAGCCCGAGTGCCGGTGTGGGGCTGAATCTGACCCATGAGCTCTGGAGGAGGTGTCCTCTGTGTAGCTGAGCCTGTTTGTTCCTCCCCTCCCCCCTTCCCCGCAAAAGACTGCCAAGCAGGGCATAGCTGTGGCCCTGCCAAAGACCAAGAAGACTGGAGCCGAGCTCGCCTTTGCCTGCCGGACGCCCACAGTGGTTTTCTCCCCCATTGCTTTCCTGCCCACGATGATTTCCCTGGAGAAAGGAGTGTCGTACTTAGCACCGTGTACAGAGGTATTTATAATTCACTCTGCCTGGGCAGACTTCTTGTCTCCATCTCCGCATCCTCTGTCGAGCCGCCCACCTCTGCAGCTGAGCACTGCAGGAACAGACACAGCACAGTCCGCTGCTCTGGGGCCTTGCCGGGACACCCAGCCCCCCCAGCACTACCATGATAGACCAGACCCATACAGGGGAGACCCGCCTTCCTCCCAAGGCCACTGTGACCCAAGTGGTGCCTTCCCTCCCACTCCGCCCTCACCATGGGGAAGAACTTCGGAGAGGGGTCAGCCAGACATTCCTGCCAGTCGGAGCAGCTGCAGAAGCAGCCAAGGCAGAGACCTGTGGCCATTCAGACCATGTTCTCGGGTTTGAACTGGACTTGCTCTGGCCCGTGCTGACTGGCTCTTTGCTCCAATCCTCTCCCTCCCGCACCGTCTGTTCCCCTCAGCTTCATTCCACGCCTGCCCCTCTTTCTCCCTTCTCCTCTCGTTCCCCTTCCCTGCCATGTCCCTTCGCTCTTCTGATCCCCTCCCAATTAAAACCACCCACGCACTAAAGCCACGTCCTTGTTCCCTCTGCTTGTGCCTTCGCCCTCTTCCTCCACCCCGTGTGTGTCCTGGCTGTTTCGATTGTGAACTCTTTAGGGCTGGCCCGGTCTGCTACTCGGCAGAGCGCCTAACGCAACAGCGTCCCATGCTCGGTTGGACCTTAGGCACTCCTGTCATAAACATGATTAATAATAATAAGGACCGGTATGTGAGCCATCCCCTGGCATTCTGGGGTAATGCAATTGAAGAGCAGTGTGATGGTTCAGTCTGAAGGAGCACCCTGAAACACACGACTAAATCTCAAAGGGACATGTTGGTGCACCACTTCAGTCACAAGGAGCGCTGCCTCGTTTGGTCTCCAGGTGGCAGGATCGTTCATTCTCTTCTCACACCCTAAGGACAGGTGAGGTGATAAATGTTCTCAAGGAGGAAAAGGCCTTACCAGTGCAGCCACTGATAGACGATGCAGGATCTGGAAGAGTGTGGGCTAGTGGTTAGCGCATGCCATTCTCAGCGAGGGCTCCTGGGTTCTATTCCTAGCTCTGCCACTGATGTTCTGAGTGATGGTGAATAAGTCATATAACCTCTGAGCCTTGATCTCAACTACAAGGTTTTGCCAGCACAGCTGTGTCAGCCAAGAGTCTGGGAAAAAAATCACATACACCCCACTGTGATAGCTATACCGGCAAACGTCCTGGTGACAACGTCATGAGACATCCTGCCGGCACAGTTTATGTCGTTCGGGGAAGTAGTTTAACTATGCTGGCAAAAGAATTCCTTTTGCTGGGATAAGCTGCGTCTTGTCTTGGGGTCTCTGACAGTCTAGCTAAGCCAGTACAGCCGTTGTACAGCATTTGTAGTGTAGACAAGCCCTCTGCAAAAGTGGGGATAATAACACTTCTCTGTTTCACAGGGGGCTTGTGCCCATTTGGGCCCATCTACATGGGGGCCTCCAGGAAATTAACCTAAACTGTGAATTTGAAGTGGATTAGTTAAACCGCATTAAACCCCTGTGTGAACAACCTCATTCAGAATTAACGTGGCCTTAATTTGGTTTAGTTTAATTTTTTTAATGGGGTTGAATGCGGTTTAACTAATTCACTTCAAATTCACACCTTTAGTTAATTTGGATTAATGTTTCTGGGTGTCCCCGGGTAGAAAAACCTTTAGTTAGTATTTGCAAAGTGCTTTGAAATCTGTTGGTGAAGTCCTCAGACAGGGTATATTTATATCAGGATAGGAAGAAATGGTCTGAACGCAGCACTGCCAGGCTTGATTTTCGACTCTCCCCAAGAACCAGCATCCGAGAAGGCACAGTGTCTTAATGCTGGCATGGCCAGAGCCGCTCTATCCTGGTACAAATCACATGTGTAGGGCTGTCCAGGATTGGGGGAATGGAAGAAGGAGGAAGACATCTAACAGCCTGGGGCAGGCAGCATGAGATGAAGAGCTCTCAACTTGTCCAACAGCTGTAGATACATCTGAACAAACAGCAGTGTTTAACAAAGTATGGGCCCAATGCTTTGTGCCCTAAGTGCCATCCCAGCCAGGTGAAAGCTCCTTTGTGCAAATCCACACCAGCAGTCTCCTTCCGACTGGGTCACTTCCCAGCCCCACCCAGCGTGTTTTGCTCCCTGCACATGCCTGGTACCATCCTGCTCGTTTCCGGCAGACCTCTGTTCTGCTTGAGATGGGAGCATTGTGTAAAGCCGGTATAACCTCCCCGGCTCCCCTAGTCTGTATGGTACGACGGGCAGCCAGAGGTTGTGAGGGTAAACCCAGTGCCAACACTGGATGCACCTAGTGCATTCAGATGTATTAGTGTGTTGGATGGACGTCTTTTCTCTCCCAGGAAAGATGAGTTCCAAAGGGGTGGTTTTCCTTTTTATTCCATCTTAAGCTGAGGCATTAAATGATTGCTCTGATGGGACCCAGGCACCTCTGGGCTTCTTGCCCAGGAGGTCATGCTTTCCTGTAACTTCCTCTTCTTTACAAGCAACTGAACGGAAGAGTGTTGTTCTCAGAGCATGCCTCAGAGCTGCCTTGTTTTCAGTTTCACTTCCCTCTCCTCCCTCTGCCGTTGGGAGGAGCAGTGATGGTGGGGTCAGAGTCTTGCTAGAGTCTTTTATTTTCACTTATGGTTCTCTCCACTGGATGGTCACCTCCTGAAGATGTTCGGGAGAGAAGCTCTCTCCTTTCCAACCTGCTTTGTGCTGTCTTTGGCCACACTTTTCCTGTCGCAGTTAATGGCCAGCAGCCTCAACCCCTGTGTGGAGGTACGTGATCTCTAAATAACCAAAATCCTTTTGTTTCTCAAGAGCAGCTTTCCCCAGCCTGTGTTATTGGTGTCTCTGATGTGCTGAGTGCTCATCTTCCTGTGGGGTGCGTTGTCTTTTGCCAGCAGTATTACGCAGCTTTGCAGAAAGCATACGCCACCATGGAAATCCTGGACTAAACCAACTCGCAGCACCAGAAAAAGTAGCTTTGACCTATTTTAGTTTTGTTTCCATAGGCTTGGTATTGCTGAGGTGCAGTTATTAACCAATGGATCCCATTCTCCTACAGCAATAGACTCAGGCCATGCCTACGCTACAAAATTAAGTCGACCTAACTTTCGTCCGCATATAGCTGCCGCAGTAATTACATTGCTTGAGTGCATTTGTTCTTTGTTCCCTGTGTCGGCGGTGCGAGCCCTCACCAGGAGCACTGGTATCGATTGTGGCGTCAGCGTGGGGCATTGTGGGATGCGTGCTGAAAGCCAGCAACCGTCGACATAAGCACTGCGGTGTCTACACTGATGCTGTGTCGACCTAACTACATCAACCTTGATTCTACGCTGCTCACGGAGGTGGAGTTATTAAGTCGGCGTAGCAGTGCAGGTGTGTTGGCGGGAGTGAACTTTAAGTGTGAACACTTCCATAGTTAGGCTGACGGAAGCTGTGTTGGGTCGACCTAACTCTGTAGTGTAGAACAGACCTCAGACCCCATAGTATTACTGCTGTAAGCTCTGATATTTTAGGTTATTCCTGTAATATGTTGCAGAGTTGGTGTTGCAGCCACTGGTCAGCAACTTGTTGCTGAGTTGGTTGTTTCCAGACGTCACTTTTATAAATAAACGAGTTCTATAAGAAATAAAGTTAAATGTTAACTTGAAGAATTAAGTTTAATGCTGATTTTGGATTGTTACTGTCTGAGAGTATCTCTGTTCCCTGGTGTATTACCAGCATCACAAAGAATCTTGTCTTTAAAAGCTCTGGTCCAGATTCACCACTGATATAAGTAGGCACATCCCAGTGGGCTTGCGCCTCATTACACTTGTAATTATATTGGTTATTGGTTTAGGAAGCAGAGATGCTATTACTAGAATAGGTGCAGATGCTTGGACTTCCTGTTGCTCAGTGCGGCCCAGAGGATCTGTCTGTTACAGAGATATTTAGCCTGCACTCGATAGTTTTTTAATGGTTTAACTTTCTGGCACTCTGTGGAATCTAGATGTTGATTTGTGGATTGGCTCTGTGAATATTTGCAGGAGATCACCAACGTAACTTACAGATGCATGGAGTTGAACCTCTCTGGAGTTCCCGCTGAAATCCCACCTTCCACCCAGAACTTGGATCTGAGTTTCAACCCACTGGAGTCACTGACCTCAAATTATTTCTCAGCAGTCCCTGCACTGAGGTTTCTGGACCTCACTAGGTATGGAACCTTTCACATTGGTGTTGTCCTACTGGATGCAGACAGGGCTTTTGCGTCACACTGATTAATCCTGTTTCAGAATCGCCAGTGCACTGACACGGGGACAGGCACTGTTATTTTTGCCCTCTTTGCTCTTGTGTCTGTGTGGTTCAACGGGTGATTCTGGCTAAAAAAGGGTTCTAATCCTGCACCGTAATTTAAGATCGTGCCCAGTGCTGTCACAGGGATACTGTTCTAAGGTGCAGTTCCTGCACTTCATGTCACTCGTGTTCATTCCGTGGGGCACTCGGCTTTACTACTTCTGTTAGACTGTCAGAGACAACTCCACGAAGGGATGATGGGCTGAAGTCCCTTCCTTCTTGTGCATCCGCAGCAGAGTTGTTTCCTAAGTCCGAATCAGCGACCCCTTGTTTTGACAGCACGTGGGCAGTGAAGCGGTTGCACGGGTGTCACTGAGGACATAACCTGGAAACGATTGGGGGGGGGAGGGGGTCACAGAAGTAAGTGAAGCCCTTATTTGTCTTTCACAACCTGCATTATGGGTGACAATGCACAAGATAGATCGTACCCCGTGCAAGTGTCACGTGGCATTTTGTGGGTTGCAAGTGAAGAAATGGGCATCTTTTTAGTGGTAAATAGGGCACATTTGACCTGGAGATCACCTAGAGACAGTAAATGTGGAGACCCAGTGACACCACTCCTACAGAGCTGACCTGCACTTTAAAGATGCAATGGGAATGGTGAATTATATTAATAATAATGATTACTATTGTTTACATAGAGGCATTGGTACCCGCGGCACTTTACGGACATGTCAGAAGAAAAGCTCCCTACCCCGCAGACCTGGCATGGTAATTAAGACCAGGTCCTTACTGGCACGTCTCCTCTGATGATGGAATTCTCTCCAGCTCCGATGGCCCATTTCAGACTCTACACCCACTAGAGCCTCACATGAGATCTGAGCTGTAGTTTTAAGTGGTGCCTTTGGCCTTGCATCAGGGATATCTGCTTTGGGATGAATTCCGCTCTCAGCATAAGAGAAATCCCACACCGGGTCTGAGCAATTGCTGAATGCTGCTGGGCTTGTCAAGGATATTCCCTTCTAAGTTCAGATAGCTGTTTACTGTGCCTGTCCATAGGTGCTGGAACTAGGGGTGCTGCACCCCCTGGCTTGAAGTGGTTTCCATTATATACAGGGTTTACAGTTTGGTTCATAAGCTTTCGTGAGCTCACGAAAGCTTATGCTCAAATAAATTGGTTAGTCTCTAAGGTGCCATAAGTACTCATTTTCTTTTTGCGAATACAGACTAGCACGGCTGTTACTCTGAAACCAGTTTGGTTCAATGGCTCTCAGCACCCCCACTACAAAAATTGTTCCAGCACCTCTCTGTCTGTCTCCCTCCAGCCCAATGAGCTGTTTCAGGGCTGATCTACGCTGATAACTAGCATGGGCATTGCTAGTTCTCTCAGGGGAGTGGAAAATCCACTCTTCTGCGAAACATAAATGCCAACTGACCCCTGGGGTAGACAGCGCTAGGTTAACGGAAAAGTTCTTCCATCAGCCTAGGGCTTGTCTATTCTTGAACTCTCCAGCAGCCCAGACGTGTCAATGTAGCATTTCAAGTGTAGACGCTATCTGTGCCAATGGGAGGGGTTCTCCTGTCAGCGTAATTAATCCACTTCCCCAAGAGGCAGTAGCTGTGTCCACGGAAGAATTCTTCCATCGACCTACCGCTGTCTGAGGTCAGCTGAACGATGGCGCTCAGGGGGTGGACTTTTCACACCCCTGAGTGCTGTAGCTGGGTCAGTCTAGTTTATAATGTAGACCAGTCCATAGCTACTGCCACCCGGTAAGGTGCATTAACCACAGCGACAGGAGAACCCCTCCCGTTGCGGCAGTGAGTGTCTACTCTGAAGCGCAGTAGCATTTTAAGTGTAGACTGAGCCACAGCATTAAGGTTTGGAGGTTCAGGGTAGAATCCTGTATCCCTACACGCTAATCCCTCACTAACTCTCCTTGCTTAGAGGAGCAGTCGGCCTTTCCTTCCCTTCCGGATGCTAGGAGCTGAAGCTGTGTTCTATGTTGTTCTAGGGACAGTTTCCTTTAGACTAGCAAGCAGAGCTCAGACTTCATCTGGGACTAAAATACGTGTACCTGACTCCTTATAAGCCTCCGCTGCTGGAACTAAAGTTCCGAATGAGCAAAGTATTTGAGCACATGCTTAAGTACACCCCCTAGCCAGCAAAGCACGTAAGCCTGTGCTTATCTTTGCTGAATAGGGACGGACTGCTCAATCCAGACCTAAATCCTTTAGGCCAAGTGGTAGAGGTTCATGTGTATGGTGCTGAAGCTCCTGGGCTTAAACGTGGTTGTTGAACCAAGTGGGATTGGTTAGAGTGTATGGGTCATATAGGAGATTTGGTGATGGAGGCAGTGTTGCCTAGTGGATGGAGCATTAGACTAGGACTCAGGAGACCTGGGTTCTATTCCCAGATTTGCCACTGGCCTTCTGGGAGACCAAAGGCAAGTCACGTCACCACTTCGTGCTTCCGTTTCCCCATCTGTAAAATGGGGATAAACTGTCCTCCTTTGCAAAGTGCTTTGAGATCTATGGATGAAAAGCACTATAGGAGAGCAAGATAGTATTATTATTATAGAATGGGTATTCAACATGGGGTTTCAACCCCACTAGACCTTAGACATTCAGGATGAGGTTCCCTAGGGGAGGTTAGCTTTTAACCCATACTAGGAGTATGTGGGTTATTTTCCACATTTCATGCCTGAATCACATAAGAGATTTACGACTCTGCTACTATTTCTGGCTGTGGCATTTTTAGTCTGTTAGTTCAAGCGATAGAGGCTCATGCTTTTAGCACTGAAGGTTCTGGGTTCAAATCCTGAAGACTGCCCCTAGCAGATTCAGTCACATACAACATTCCGCACCCTGATGTAGATTTAGGGTCTTCCCATGGATTGTTGGTAACTCCGCGGCACTCTTCTGAGTTTAAGGTTTCCTTTCATTCCAGAAATGAAGGCTGAGATTGTCAAAGCTCCCTGAGGAAATTGTGTCCAGTTCCCATGAACATTAACTGGAATGAGGTACCCAGATCTCCTAGGTGCCTTGTAAACGCTCAGCCTCTGTTTTAAGGCCTTTTGGTGGTGAAGAAACCCTGGAATGTCAATGGGTGCTTTTGATTAGGACTGTCAGGTGGTAAAGGAAGCCTGCACCCTGCCTCACTGTAGATGGCTCTGTAAATCCCCTGCTTTCAAATTTAATTCCAGATTTAGGCAGGGCAGAAGAGATGTGAGAGATGTGTTCTATGTGTCAGCATTCATTTCCTTTCCGCTAAGCTGATTTCTTTTTGCCTGGTTGGGCAGGTCTGCATCTCTGGGCGATAATGCTGTGCTCACACGTAGATCTGGTGTGATAATATTGCCCCAGGTTTGATAATGGTGTGTCTGCAAAGCTGCCTAGCTTGGTAATGCTCCATACCCATGTGCACCTGGCATAATGACACTGTGTCTGCACCCAGTGCAGTAACGCGGTACCCATATGCATGTGCGTGTGTGTGACAGAAGTGATAATGCTTCATGTATATTGTTCTCTTTTCTTGCGTAACAGGTGTCGCATCCAGACAATTGAAGACTATGCTTTTGAGGATCTTCATAACTTGCTCACCTTGATTCTGACTGCAAATCCCCTCTGGCATCTGGGTCCAAAAGCCTTCTATAGTTTGACATCCCTGCAAAAGCTGGTAGCTGTGGAAGACAGCATATCCTCACTAGCTGACCTGCCCATTGGACACTTACATACTCTGCAGGAACTGAATGTGGCCAAGAACAATGTCGACTCTTTGAAGCTCCCCAAATATTTCTCCAACTTGACTTTTCTCCGATTCCTGAGCCTTCAATCGAATAAGATCTCATCTATCTCCACAGGAGACCTGGATGTTTTGCAAGGAGAGAAGGGCCTCAACCTAACATTAGTGCTTTCTATCAATGATATAAAATACATTCAGCTAGGCTCCTTTGAGGGGATTCATCTTCATGAGCTGTCTCTGAGGGCTTGTTTTGAGAACACCAGTGTTATGAAGGCTGGCATCCAAGGCCTTGCTGGCTTACAGGTCAACAGACTAGTTCTTGGAGAGTTCAGGAACATTCGGAGAGTGGGGGACTTTAGTAATGGGCTCCTGGATGGACTGTGTCAGGTGCAGCTTCAGGAGTTTGTGTTCATTTGCTTCGAGAGGTTTTATAATTGCACAGACACTCTCTTTGACTGCCTGGTCAACACCTCCATTATTCGGATGGTGGATATCTACCTCAACCAGGTGTCAGCGGTCCCTACTGCCTCCAGACTACACCAGCTGGAATGCAAGACCTGCAAGTTTAGTGAGGTGCCTGCCCTGAAGCTGTCCTCCTTCAAAGAGCTCAGAGTGCTTCGGATCACCAAAAGCAAATACCTCACTGGCTTCCTGCAGACATTTGTGGATCTGCCTAACCTGGAGGTCCTGGATCTGAGTGAGAACCGGCTCAGCTTCATTCAATGCTGTGCCTTTTACCTGTCTGGGACCCCAAAGTTGAAGCACTTGAACCTGAGCTTCAACTCCAAAATCAGCGTGTCTGGAAGCTGGAGTGTCAATGAGCTGGTGTCTCTGGACTTTCAGCACTCGAAGTTGAATGGTCCTGGCTCCTTTCCTGTCTTCCTCTCCCTTGGGAAACTCATCTACCTTGATATTTCCTACACCAACACTCACGTTGAGTCCCAGTGTGCGTTCTGTGGCTTAGAGTCCCTGCAAGTGCTCAAGATGGCCGGCAACTCCTTTAAGGGCAACAACCTGGGCGACAGCTTCATGAAACTGACCCAGCTGCTCACCCTGGATGTTTCCAGCTGTAATTTGATACAGGTGTCTCTGAGCGCATTTTCTACCCTTGGTAAATTGCAAAAGCTAAACATCAGCCACAACAAGCTGCTGACCTTTGACCACCTGGCCTACAAGCCTCTCCAGGCCCTCACTGTCCTGGACTTTAGCAGCAACCAGCTGACTGTCTTGACAGAAAAGGCTCTGGAGAGCCTGCCAAGCAGCTTGGTCCACCTGGACATCTCTTGCAACCTGTTTGACTGCTCCTGCAGCCACCTGAGTTTCCTGAAGTGGGCCAAGGAGCACGGGGAGCTGCTCTGGAGCACCAAGCTGATGGTCTGCAACAGCCCCGAGCACCTGAAGAATGTGAGTGTGCTGAACTTTGACCTCTCCTCCTGCCAACTCAGTCCCATTCTGATGGCCATCTATGTGGGCCCGGCCCTCGCTGGAGCTCTGTTCTTGTTCCTCATTTACAAATACTACTTCAACCTGTACTACGGGCTGGTACTGCTCAGCGGATGCCGGCGGTATGCGGACAGGGATGACACCTACGACGCCTTTGTCATCCACTCCAGCAAGGACATTGAGTGGGTGAGAAAGGAGCTGGTCGAGACCTTGGAGGGGGGAGTGCCCCCCTTCCACCTCTGCCTCCACTACCGGGACTTCACGCCGGGGGTGCCCGTTGCCTCCAACATCATCCACGAAGGGTTCCTGAGCAGCAGGAAAGTCATCGCGGTCATCTCCGACCACTTCATGGAGAGCAAGTGGTGCAGCTTTGAGCTTGAGATCGCCCAGTCCTGGCAGTTCGTGGAGGGCAGAGCTGGCATCATCCTGATTGTGCTGGAGGAAGTGAATAAGGCGCTGCTGAGGCGCAAGCTGGGGCTGTCCCGCTACCTGCAGAGGAACACCTACCTGGAGTGGAAGGACAGGGAAATAAGCAGGCACCTCTTTTGGAGGCAGCTGAGGACGGCCTTGCTAGCTGGCAAAACAGAACCAGGAAGCGGGGGAAACTAATGGGAACAAACTATGATGGTGCTTCCCTGTTCCTTGCTCTCTCTGCCTGGCCCTGGCTGAAAGCCGGGGTTCATGAGCTGGGTCTCCAGGAGTTGTTTCCTTTGGAGCTGGAGGAATTTAATTCTTCTGAAGTACAAGAGTGGGGACCCAGTGAAACTGTAGGCCAGGGTGGGCAAACTTTTTGGCCCAAGGGCCACATCTGGGTATGGAAATTGTATGGTGGGCCATGAATGCTCACGAAATTTGGGGTTGGGGTGTGGCTGGGGATGAGGGCTCCGGCTGGGGGTGTGGGTTCTGGGGTGGGGCCAGAAATGAGGAGTTCAGGGTGCGGGAGGGGGCTCCGGGCTGGGGCAGGGGTGCGGGTGCGGGGGTGAGCTCTGGGGTGCAGGAGGGTGAGACCGAGGGGTTTGGAGGGTGGGAGGGGGATCAGGGCTGATGAAGGGTTGGGGCATGGGAGGGGATCAGGGGTGCAGTCTCTGGGTGGCGCTTACCTCAAGCAGCTCCCGGAAACAGCGGCATGTCCCCCCTCTGCCCAATCCACAGGCGCCACCCCTGCAGCACCCATTGGCCCCATTTGCTGGCCAATGGGAGCGGCACTTGGGGCAGGGGCAGCGTGCAGAGCCCCCTGGCTGCCCCTTACGCATAGGAGCCAGAGGGGGGACGTGCCGCTTCTTCCAGGAGCCGCGCGGAGCGGGGCAAGCTCCCGATCCCACTCCCCGGCAGGAGCTCGAAGGCCAGATTAAAACATTTTAAAGGCCAGATGCAGCCCCTGGGCCATAGTTTGCCCACCCCTGCTCTAGGCCCTTTGTTCAGCAGCCTCCTCTAAGGGAGAGCTTGTGAACTAAGGTGTCAGGTGCAGCTGGGATGCTTCCACATGGACAGGCTGGCCCGACGGCCATCGGTGGCCGCAGCCATTCCAAGCTGGTCTGGCCTGGGGATGAGAGGCAACAGCCCGGCGGTAGTGCTTTCATAAGGGGGCGCTCTTGCCTGGGATTCAGTCCTGAACTACTGTCCACTCACAGTGTTATGGGCAGGGGGCAAGTAAGCTCTTTTGAGGAATTGGCCCTGACCCTCCAAGAGCGGCCGCTGCAGAGCATTGGTGGTAGCTCTCCGGTCCACAGCCACCTGGCCCCAGCAGAAGGTAGGGCCGCAGGGGGCCTGCTCTTACTTCCACCGCTGGCATAACGGGCCCTACCCCAGTGGAAGATCAGAAATAACAGCGCTCTGCTCTGCTTGGCCTTGATACACCCTCTCCTCCCCATTATGCTGGGGCAGGGGAGGTGTGACTGGGACAGGAAGTGAGGTCTCTGCCATCGATGTCACGGCTCAGCCCACGTCTGAATTTGGGAGCCGGTGGGATGAAGTGGCCTGTCGACACAGCGACATATGGAATCACTGTCCAGCGTTCCGTTGTTAGTTATATGGGGTGGATCCTTGTTCGGGAAGTTTTGCCTTTCGTTCAACGGGAGCGGCTTTGACCTTTAGTATAATGCTGTAGCAGAGCTTAGGCCTGTAAGAAATGAGAGAAAGGGGAGAGGTGCATGGCTGAATGCAATGGAGAACTGTATATGTCCTACTGTTGGGAGAAATAGGGGCCAGCAAAGCCTACAGCCCCCCTCTCCCCCCCCCCCCGATTGACTAGGAATGATGGTGGCGCTCCTGGGGCACAAGTTACCCAATGGAATCTTGCTCTTTTTACAGCTGGATGGAAGGTTTTGGGTGTGAATCTGAGAGTCAGTCCAGTTTGACTGTGGTGTAACCCTGCTGAAATCTGTGACGTTATCCCAGCGTAAACCAGGCAGGGTCCCGTGAGGAATCAGGTTTATCATTTAGTCAAAATGATGGCCTGATTCTGATCTCACTCAGGTGCAAATCAGGAATATTTTCACTGAAGCCAGGTGTGCGTGAGATCAGACTCACGCCTTATATTTGCAGAAGCCTGCTCCCAGGGAGGACCCAGTCTCAGTGGGTGGCTTGCGCTGGCCTAAGCCCAATTCCCTTTACCTCCCACTGTGCTGTATCATTACTCACCAGTGACACAGTCACCTCTCTAGTGTCTTTGTGTTTCAAGAGAGGAACTGTGTGCAAAATACTCTAATAAAACTGGACTCACGCTGCATTTGCATCCTGCAGTGAGTTTCTCTCCGTTTTACGTTTGCTAAGTACTGTTGCAGTCATTTCCAGAGTGCTCTGTCTCTTACTTCAGGCATGACTGACAGTCCGGGAGCGTAGCGCTTTGTCAGACAAACCTGTCTCCTCGCCGTGCGGTGGAGGCCTGGGAAACCAGAGGAGGGCTTCTGCACAGAGGAGAGATTTCAAGGTGCAGTAAACAAGGGCATGTCTCAAGGTTCCTCGGTTCAAGGCTAAAGAAGAGCGCAGAGGACGAAGTAAATATATGTCTGGTTTTCAGCAGGTACAATTTAAATTAGAAAATGAAAGGGGACAAATCAAATGGCGTGGGAGTTACTGCTCCTGAATTGAATGGCACTGAAGCTGCAGGTCTCTCTCTTTCTCTGTCTCTCTGTGTCTCTTCTACAAACAATTCACGGTGTAAATGTATTGCAGTTACAAATCGCAGTGTCCTATGATTCTTGATTATCATTGTAATGATGGGTTTCTGAAAGCCTGCAAGTGGTCCAGGGAATGATAATAAGCGTGCAGGACAGACGTGTTGTTTCGACGGTGAGGGTTTGTTGGATAGCAAGCCAAGTTTGGCAGAATAGTTACTGGGGCTGTGCTTGTCAGAAGCTCCTAGATCCACACTTTAAAGGCAGGCTGGTGACTGCCATGCCCCTCCACTCCAGACACGTGGCATCACCCATACAGACTCAGCTATGGACGTGGCCCCAGGCTACCCCAGTTAGATTGTCCTGCTGGCTGTGAGTGCGTGGGAAAGCCATCATTGCTTCTGGAAGGGGTAAGCCAACAGAAAAGGCTACAGGCCGGAGACAGGCTCTCTGAGCATTCGAGACAGCGTCACACGCAAGTTTGAGGGTTTGTTTGATTGTTTTGTTTTGTTTTTGCAAGTTGGAAAATTGTCTATCCCCTCTCAGTAAGTGTGACTGCTGTCCATAGTATCACACGGCTTCAGTAGTGCTGCGCTTCTAAGAACATGGCAAGTTCATTTCCCTTGCTGAAGAGAGTGGAGGAGACAGTAGACCCCTGCGTATGGTAGCTGCTTCCTCAGTGGCTGGAGTGAATTTCAATTCTGGGGGATCACAGGGTTTTTTTATGGGCAACACCAGTGCTGTTACGTCAGGGAGCCTGTGTGGCTAGCAACATGAACTTCCCTGGATAGACTCCTGACAGCAAGCAAAGGTTTACCAGCTTATCCATTGCAAATGCACTAAGCAACCTGCAGCATGTGGGCCAGAGAATAGCATACAGAGGAGAGCTGGTCAGGAATCAGGTAGAGCAGGGACTGAACGTGAGTCTCCTACATCCTGGGTGAGTCTCCTAACCACTGGGCTATTGGCTATGCTAGGGAGTCTCTCTTTTTTCTCCCTGTACCCTTTTCCAGGCGAGCAGCCAGAAGGGCCTGGGGTCCTTGCTGAAGCCATGACAAGGACAAGTTAATTTTGCTTTCCTTCTCACAGAGCAGCTCCAGCTTTGCCTACACTCCTGGTGCATCTCATGAGAATGGAGGAGAAGATAGTCCCGCTAACACTGCAGTGCCCGTCCCAACATCTGGAAAGTATTTTGTGCTTGTGGCACTTGAGCAGGAAAGGCTGACCATCCCTGTTCTAGATGGTGCAAATAATTGGTGATGAGCTGGTTACAGAGCTGACCATGGACCCTTGAAGGCAACAGGAGCTTTGCCATTTACTTCAGCGGGTGCAGGGTCAGGCGCTGAGTTCCCATAGCGTTCCCCATTGAACCTAGGTTCTTAGGTCTCATCTCCATTGGGGATTTGTATCTGGACCAGTGCAAACACCTACTGTGGACTGGCAAAGCCATTGTTTGCATGGTAGGTGTCTGTCTGTCTGTCTGTGTCTCTCTCACATACACACACACATGGAAATTTGGGTTGTCTCCCAGAGGATTGTATTGCCCATGTATCCAAAGGAAGTAGGAAAAATAGTTTGGCAGGCCTGACCCCCAAAATGCTGAGGCCAGCTCGGGCTGTGCCAATCAACAATACACAGTCAACCCATGGAACTCTTTGCCAAGGATGTTGTGAAGGCCAAGACTATAACAGGATTCAAAAAAGAACTAGATAAATTCATGGAGAATAGGTCCATCAATTGCTGTTAGCCAAGATGGGCAGGAATGGTGTCCCTAGCCTCTGTTTGCCAGAAGCTGGGAATGGGTGACAGGGGATGGATCACTTGATGATTCCCTGTTCTATTCATTCCCTCTGGGGCACCTGGTATTGATCACTGTCAGAAGACAGGATACTGGGCTAGATGGACCTTTGGCCTGTCCCAGTATGGCCATTCTTATGTTCTAATCATCACTGGGAAGGTGATTTCTCTAGTAAGATCTCTGATTTGAGCCAGGCCCTTGCAATCATGAAATATTTGTGATCTCCAGGCTGTAGAGAAGAAGTTACACAATAAGAATTCCATTGCCTTGAGACCAGTCTTGGCTCTGGCTGGCTGCAGGAGTGGCACAGGGCGAATGGTCCTTCATGCAGATTTATCCTTTGAATCCCCAGTGCCTTAGCAAAGCCCACCTGTCAGGCTGTCCTGCTGTGGCTCCAGAGCATGAGGACGACCCTCTAGGCAGACTGTTAAGAAGCAGGAAACAAACTTCAAATTGGTTGTGAATTCTATACTTAGATTTTACCACCCAATTATCAAGTGTAAACTCAGACACTAGAACAGCCTGAACAAAGGCGTCAGAGACAGTCCCTTGGGTATTCTGATCTGTCTCGCCACCTGCGTAAGCTTATCTTTGTGATAGATGGTCCCTTACACCATAAATTGCAGCAATATTCAGGCTACTCCCTGTCCCAAAGGCCCAGTCGCTTACCCAAGGTCAATTGCAGCTTAGATCTCACACCAGAAACAATGCTTGTAGCCTATCCTGTAATAAATGATATACAGATGTATGAATAGGAAAAGGAAATGAGAGTTATTTACAAGGTTCAAGCAGGTAAACATACACACACAAATGAGTTCCAATCTTAAGTTTCAAAAAGTAACAAGCTTCTATAATGAGCAAGCTGTATATGTCCCTGAGGGCTAGTCCAATCTAAACACTAGAGATCAGTGTGGGATTTAAGTGGGAGCCGGTGTA